AAAAAAAAAAAAAAAAAAAAACAAGAAAGAAGAAAGAAAACTGGAGGCAGAATTATGTTCAAATGGACTGGTGGACTGGGTTAATAGCTAGTGACTAAAAGTACATACATACAGAAAAAATTCACTAGATTTTTAATACTTGGCATATACCACTGCCATAAGAAAATTTTCTAAGTTTTTTTAAAAGAAAATAAATAATTGACTCTAACACTTTGCTTTAGACACAGACTTCCCCACACTTTCTCTTTCTCTTTGATGGAATCTTTCTTTCCTACTTGACTCTTACCTGTTTTCGTTGCTTGGCATCTCAGGTTATTTTTAGATCTGTGTGCTGCACAGCGATGTGATATCAAAGCAAAAATTCCACTGGGTTGAATGTACTGAAATAACAACATTTGGTTCAAACCGTACTGTCTTAAACCTCAGGGAGTAACTCTACCAAATCATTTTCATTTGTGCAAGCATAGTGGAGACTCGGACCTGAGAGATGGCGCATAGCAACCAAGAGGATAAAGATCTTATCCAAACACTGGCAGCATGCCATGAGGAAAACCTGCCACAGGAAAAATATATATTCAAAGATCATTTTATAATAGTCAATAGAAACCAGGTTTTCCTTTTCGTCTTTTTTCTTAGATTTCATTACACTTAAACCTTTTAGTCAGAGGCGACCAATGAAGAAAATTGTCATATTTGTTTGCTAAATCTTCATATTTTCATTCCACTATGCTTTCTCTCATAATTTCTAATTATTATAAAATTTGATATCAAAAATTGTGGTTTAAATGTCATTCTAGTATTCCTTTTGAAATTTTGGCTACTGCATAACTACAGCTGCAAAGTCAAAAAAGAGTTTTTTTAAGCTAGAGGGCTCTTTCAAAAATGTAATGCAGGCAAAATCTTGCTCTTGCTTTGATTTTAATGACAGACCAACCAGACTGAACCACAGGCATTATATGCCATAAGCCCAGTATGAATGGCCTTTGACTGAGCGTCAAACATGCAGCCTATAATTGGAGAGGCGCTTTGTAGCATTTGAGCCCCATATCCATTTTGAATCTCTGCTTAATCTATTTAATATAGGGTTCCTTCCATTATCGAGTTGACAGATTCCACTTGGCTGAAGGCTAAATGCTAAAAAGAATGACTGGCACAGACATAGCTTTAGACCCACATCCAGTTAAGAATATACTACATAAATACTAAATTATTATTACTCTGGGACATTTCTAATCTTGCTGCCATAGACCTGAAACAAGTAAACATCTATCAGGAAGGGATCAGTTTCTTGATACCAGACATGTAAAAATGTTCTTAAAGGTAAAGATATTGTTAAATTATTTACAAAAAAAATCATTACTGTGTTTTTTGTACAACTTCTTTGACATTCTAATTCATAACGGACCTTTACTATTTTATTGGTATAAGGTTTAGGTTCAGAGTCATATATTGTGGAGAACGCCAGGATTTTCAGCTTCCTAAAAATGATCCTCTTGAATATTTCGAGAAGTACAGTATGTTACTGGAGTCTTAACCTGATTCTAATTAGTATCTAGTATAAATAGCTCAGTTTAGTAAAGACTATGCTTCCAACTTTTCTAAAATAAAATAAGGGAAAAGCAGACTCTTCTTTAGACTATGTGTAATGTCATGCATTTTCTTCTCAATGCCTGTATTAGTTGAATAAAGATTTCTACTCCAAGAGAATGCATTGGTTCGTTAAGAATTTGCAAGTGTTAACAATTGTTCTATCAGAGATACCTTCCTAAATTACATATATTGAAAAATAAAATATATTTAGGATTCAGAAGAGAGTTATTTTCTAATTATAAAGTAATTTTTCAATTTTAGGATAAAATAATCAAATTCATTTACAAGTAGGGACCTGGAAATTTTTACCACCAGGGGGCAGGTTATGTTAACTATTGATATAGTATATGCTGAAAGGCTCAGAAGAGGCAAATTTAGACAGAAGTGGAAAATTCCCTGAGGGTTTCTTCACAGATCCTTTAGTTAGTTTGAACTGTTCAAAGTATAATTTGCACACCAGTTATAAAAGAAACTACATAATGACAATTTCAAACTATTAAAGCTTTTTGGAAAGTATTTTTGGTGACCTGTTGACTTGTTTCTTTTTATTTTTAATAATCATGGTTTCAGTTGAAGTGAAATCATAAAGCCACTCAAAGGAAATTGAAAGTAATGGTTTCCAATATGTTGTTCTGTTTATAGATCACACTCTTCACAGTTATTTCAACTTGAATTTTACATATCTTCATTAAGAACAATGATTCTAAAAAAATAATCCCCTGGAAATTTTATAAAATGCAGATGAATATATATATATATTTTTTTTTTTTGAGGGAGAAAACTGGATTTAAATTTATCGGAGGTGCTCTGAATTTATTAACAATTTGGTACCATATTGACTCTGTTGTTGTTCATTCCTTTAATTAGTGATGATAGGCCTGAAAACTTTACTGAAAGTAAGTGTAAGTTTCTCAGATGCATAAATAATGTCTTCACTTTTCTCCACATTTATTTTTAGTGTCCAAGCAAAACCTACGACCCACTGATTAAATCTACCCGAGATTTTCCAGATGATGTCATCAGTTTCATAAAGCGGCACCCTGTGATGTATAAGTCAGTCTACCCAGTTGCAGGGGGACCAACATTCAAGCGAATCAATGTGGATTACAGACTCACACAAATAGTGGTTGATCACGTCATTGCAGAAGATGGCCAGTATGATGTAATGTTTCTTGGAACAGGTAAGCTCAAATTAAGCTTTCTTTTTTAAAGGAATTCGTCATTATTAGACAAAACAAATGCTTTAAAAGTATTTATTGGTCAAAATCAAAATGAGTAATTATTAGCTAATACTTTGTCAATCCTTCATAAAATTGTTTGATACGTGCTTTTAGATAATAATCATAAAAATCTCCCAGCCTCTTAAATATATTTGAGTATTGAAGCGCAATGTTACTACTATAGATTAGGTGCTCAATACATATTTGTTGAGTCACTTGGGCTAAAAATAAACAAGTAGGGCACAGATGTATTTCTTTATTTTCATACTTCACCCTTCCCTTTACCTACCTGATAAGCTGTAGCTCATGGGATCCTTTCACCTGGTTTTGAGAATCTCTGACTTCAGTGATGCAAGAGAGCTTTTCAAAAACATTAAGCATTACTATGTAAAGTATTTCTCATAGAAATTTCTTGGAGATTATTTTCCTATTCTTAAATTTTGTGGATTAAAATGAATTTTGCAGATTCTCATAATCAAAGCTTGCTATATTCTTTGTCAACTCAGCAATTATAAAATGATTTAAAAATATTTTTTACCAAAAAAAATTTATTTGGTAATCTCAATCAAGCATTTCATAAAGTAATGGAAACTAATAGGTTTTCAAAAAACATATATTTAATGAAATAGATATTTAGAAATGTAAAAAAAATTGTAGAATAATTTTATTTTAAAAATATATTGGCTTTACAAAAGTTAAGTTTATTAGAAAGTATGTACGTTACAGATGAAGACCTTTGCACACCAGTTGTCAAACCTGATTATGTTGCAGATAGTAATTCCAAGAATGAGAAAAACAAGGATTTTTTAGGGACTACAGAGGTATCTACTGAAGAATCAAAAGTAGAAATAATTAGTTTGTTATTAAGGTTCAGGAATTCACCCTGTCCTCTCAAAGCTCATGCCGAGTCAACAGTTTACAGCAATAAATGTCATTCAGCCACTAGGTGGTACTATCTAACTTTTATTGAGAAAATTATAAAGATGCTGAAACAGGATTTTGATTTTGACAATTTGAAAATATATGTTTGATATTTTTGAAAGATTCTAGATTCATTAGAAATAGTTGAATAACCCAGACCATTCTGTGCAAACTGGATCATATACACCATACGTTACTATATTCAAACTCCAGTGTGCAGAAGTTTAAAAGCATCTCTTTTGTATGAATTAATTTTAAAGTAGGATTTTTTTTCTAAATTTCTTTTTTGTACTAGCATGCTACCTCATGGAATTGTAATATAAGATGATATATTTAAGACTTTCTAAATGTTAATTTTTTGTTTCTAGAGCATTAATAATGATTAGGAAGATAAAGTACAGTTGAAGGGTGAGCTACAATTTCCCTCAGATAGCTTCAGTGATATTCTTTTTTATCCATTTATTAAGATTATTAAAATAATGTGTACATCGAATTGGATAGAATAGCCATAAGTAAATATATGTTACATTGAGCTAGAAAGGAGAGAAAAACTGGTTATTTTAGTATATTTTACCTTGTAAATTAAGGTCCAAAACATTTGCTATAATTTTAAGCAATGTGTATCTTTTAATATTCTCTCTATAAGTATATGTACTACTAGTGAAAAGCTATAATATGTTTGAAGGACAAAAATTACATACATTAAGCTTCTCTTCTTTATGTTTGCCTTATTCAACCCAAATTTTGAAAGAAGCGAAGCAATTTGTTTCTAGGAATGTGCTTACAATTAAATATTGAAAGAGAAAGAACAAGATCATGGCTAATGCATTTTTTCAGACATTGGAACCATCCTAAAAGTTGTCAGCATTTCAAAGGAGAAGTGGAATATGGAAGAGGTGGTTCTGGAGGAGCTGCAGATATTCAAGGTAAGACTCAGTCCAGAGTTCCAGGAGCAGTGATAGTGGAATTCAGTTGCCCTTGTTGTGGGGCACACTTGCCTTAATACGTCATCACTTTTGCTGAAAAACAAGTCCTTGAAATTAGCTCCTTTATGTTTCTTTTCCCTAAGCAATGGAAAAAGTTTTATAAGCAAGTAAGACTCACCTTGCTCTATAGAACACCACTGAACTCAGAGCTCCTGGGATTGCCTCCCATTACTGCATTCTCTAAGCATATAGTCAGACAAATCGCCACATTAAATGAAAGCCTAGGGTCTCTTTTACTATCCAGATGCTTTTCTACTTTATAAATTTTACTTTTCCATTTTTCCCCAATTGAATTTGAAAAAACTAGAAGAGTGTATAAATCAAGTGTCCCTGTTTTTCTGTAAGGAAATTAAATATATATATATATACACATATATATATATATATATAGCATGATAGTAAAGCTTCGTGTATTTTAAATTGCTCTCACACGCCAAAAAGAGTTAGTAGATCTACAAGAAGAGTTCTCCAGATTTGGAGAATGTCTTTGACTTTTACCAATAAATTCAAATTGAGGCAGTTTATGTAAATACTCAGTAAAATTTGATTTAAAATTATTTCTTGAAAATAACATTAGAAGTAAAATTTATTCCTTAGAAAAGCTTTTTTTTTTTTAAATGCTGAGCTTTTTTAATGACATTTTTGTGGAGACAATTTATTAAAATGGATTGTTTCCATGTAAACGTCTATTGCCTAACAAAGAATAAAGCTCTCCACTGTGAGAGTTAATTAACGTGCTGCCTTCCTCAGGATCCTGTTTACATTGTGATGATAATAGTGGTCAAGGAGTTAACAAGAACAAGACCTGCTATCTGGTGTCTACAAAAACAAAGTCTTGGGTGGCTCCCAAAGGAAAGGCTGGTTGTCAAATACAAATGTGAACCCAGAGGCCAAAAGAAGGGTCCCTGTGACAACATAGGCACCTTAGAAGAACTCTTATTCAGTGGTGGTATACCCGTGTTTTTATATCACAGCACTCTTCAACCTATACTTGAACTTCTGCACCACACTTAAATTATGTTGATCAAAACAAACAAACAAAAAAAGATTATACTTACTGTGCTTTGAACCTTTTTCAAAAATAATTTAATTAGTAATCTTTAACATTTGTCAAAGCACATCTAAGATCCTCTTATGGCACACCAGTTGAAAATCGTTGTAATGGTAGGAATTGCTGGGATTCCACAGCTAAAGCTTAAATGATTAGTGGTCATCATTTGTTGTGTTTAAAGAAAAAAAGATTTATTGAGGTATAATGATGTACAAAACCCACAGATACTTAATTGATTATAATTTAATGAATTTGGCCATGCTTTTTAAATTTATGATGCAAAATGTTCTTGGATAGATAGAACTTTCTCACTTAAAATTTTTCTTTCTTATATTCCTTTAAATCTTTGACGTTTTCTACTGTTTATCAAGTAGTAAATACTAGCTGTGTGAAAGGATTAAGGAGTAGAAAGGTAAATGACAGATAGATAGCATTTTTAGAAAACATCCTATCTTTATTTTCAGTTTAGTAATTTTGATTTTATCTGGTGTGCATATAGACATATTTTCTACAAAGACTATTGACTTGAGTTCATATCATGAAATTATGTGCATCTATATTTCTAAATCTAAATTATGTCCATCTATATTGTGGAAGAATATGGTCTTCCACAAAGAGCTTTTCAGAACTATGGTACTTGAACAAGTTTTTGAACCACTGATCCTAGTAATAGCAGAAAGAGGTAATAAATAATCATAGAGATGTTCTTGTCAACACCAGTTTGAATTATACGGAAACAGTTAAGATAAGCAGATACAGAAGAAGGGGAAAACTTGTGAGTAACTGCGAACAATTTTCATTACAGAGTCTTTCCTTATATGTTAAGGTAATTTTTCTCTAACAAGATATTTTCATCTCTCTTAAAGTAAAACATGCTGGAAGAAAATAGCAAACAATAAGATCCTTTTCTCCCCTTTATAGCAGACTTGGACTTGACACTGACTTCAGCAGTCTTTAAAGATAAAACAACATATTAGTTAAAAAAGAAAAAAGAGCCTTTTAATGAATATGTTTTTGACATATAACTTCTATTTTCAGCACCCATCGATCATCTTGAACATGGAGTTGTCCCTAAAGCAGGTACTTTCTAATTTTTATATAGAAATTAACCACAAAAGCAAGAAGTTGCTTCAAGCAAAAGTCTGTTTGAAGGACAATTCATTGAAACTGGAAATTGAGCTGTAAATACTGTGAAAGTGTAGGATTATTTGTTTCTTTTTTAAATTGATTAGTGGTCAATTGATTGTTGGAGCCTTCCCTTGGGAGAAATGGAACCAAATGTCATTAATTGAACAATATATTCTTCTCTTCCTTTGTCCTTTAAAACAACATTGAGGTAATTTTGCTAGTCTCATGAGGATGTCTTTCTGTCAAAGCCATAAGAAATTCATGTAGCATATGACTCCTGACCCTTACAAAGGAGGCCAAGGAGTTAGAATATGGACTGTGATGGCAACCAGCCCAACAGCAGTTGGCCTTTGCAATGCCACTTAATATCAAACTCTCAGAATCAGTGTCCTTTACAGGAAAATTAGAAAAACAGTATCTGTCTCATAAGTTTGTTGGGAGTTTAAATAGGATGCTGCCTGCAAAGTTCTAATTATTAAGTGTGAAGTGAAAACTAGCTAAGTATGATAATGACAAGGTTGAATTTTACTTCATTGAGTCTCTGATACGATACCCCAAGTCCTGGTTGGTTCAAGAGATTCAGACTTGCACGACCATGGCTATTTGTACCTGCAAGATTTAAGGAAGTCAGATGATAGTGATCTGACATCACTCAACATCAACGTGATTCTACATTGTCTTTATCTTCTATGGCAGAGTGGTTGTCAGGGAAAAGTCTAAATAGGTTTCTTCTTCAGGTCTTTTTCATTAATTTACTTCTTTAGTCAACATTTATTTTCTTGAAATACTACTCCTTAGAGGGTAGAGATGAATGAATGATATAACCTTGAACCTCCAGAAGCTCACAGAGAGCTGAGAGGAGAGCATGCTAACAATAATAAAAACCAATAATAAACAGACACATTGAAGGCAGGGTGGGATGGAGGAGCGTATGCCAAATGGAAGGGGAGAACATTTACAAAGGGGTGACGAGAAACCCTAGCTTATTCTGGTGAGTTTGTGCTCATTTAGAGCCAAAGACGTATGTATATTTAAGGGGGAAGGAGGCTAGAAATAAATCTGGAGAAATAAGCCACAGCAAGATTAAACACATCCCTATATGTCCTCCTAAGAAGTTTAACACTGTATCTTGAAGATAATGAAATCCCCTAGGTGCTTAGGAAGCTCCTACTTATGATCTGAGCTACCCAGGAAGCTGAGGTGGGTGGATCACATGAGCCCAGGAATTCGAGTCAGCCTGGGCAACATAAAGAGACTCTGTCTCAGAAAAAAAAAAAGGCAGTGAACACAGTTAAAGATTATAAGCAGGAGGGTGTCGTGATAACATTTTCTTTTAAGAAAGAAAAGGTGTGGCAGTGTGGAGATAGATTGGGTTCTGGCGTAAAGACAGGGGTTTCTGAAAAACAAAGCTGAAGCCAGCAGAAATAAGACACTTACAAGTAATCCAGGAAGATAAGTCAGAAACTAAGGCAGTGGCAGGGGAGAAGGAGAGGAGGAAATAGATTAGAAAATTCTACATGAGAGAATGGAGATGATGTGGTGACAGACTGAGTGTGAGAGAGGGAAGAATCAAAGACAGCTCCCAGATTCCTGTCTTGGGGGAAGGGAGTGAGCGAGGGTGCCTCTTGCCAAGGTGAGGCAGGAGGAGGAGATTTATGTTGTATGTTGTTTTCACAGACCTGTGGACCTGTACACCAAAAAGAGGGTAAAGAGATGAGAGTAAGAGAGAAGGAAATGCAATGGTTAATGTGAAGAAAATAATGTAAAGGCCAGACATGAAGAGGGAGCCCAGGAGAAAGTAGAGAGCGTTTCAAGGAGCATATTGTCATGAGTGGCAAATGCTGTAGAGAATTTAACCAAAACAAATGTTAAACAGTGTTCATTGCAATTAGCAACTCGAAAGTTTTAACTGACAGTTTAATGGGTGATAGAGGTATAAGACAGATTTCTGTACATTGAGTGCGTGTGTGCTTCTTATGCCAATATTTATTTCCAAGATGTTTTTCCTTCATTTAAAGCTTGGCATGGTTCACTCCGGTGGGCCACAGGTTTTTTAATTAAAGGTACAGGCTACAGCTCATTCATTTGTATCATCTCTCCCTCTCCACCACCGCTATCACAGACACTGGAATGAATACATAAGTGGAGCAGTACATTAATTTCTGGGCTTATTTTCAAAACTTAATTTCATTTGTGGGGCTTTTCAGTATCCTGCAGCCTTTTATTTATGATATGGCTCCCCTCGAGCCTGCTTGAATACTTTTTTCAGAGTGATACCAAATGCTTCTTTCCCACTTACAACCCATGTTCTTTCAGGGATCAGTACTTCATTATCAAATGAAATGGTCAGTTAAAACCAGGGGAAAGTTTTATAAATCTCTTTTCAGTCATCTCCCTTGTACGGAGCCACGGCTGGGGAACATCAGCAGGTTTGCCTGTGGCATCTGTGCTTGATATAATCTACCAAGGTATATTTTCTACTATCGAGAAAGAATTTGACATCTTAATTCCCGTCTAGCAGCTGGTTTTTGACCTTTGTAAATTACTGTAGGTTTTAGAATGCTGTCCATTTCAGTCTCAACATCGTCAAACCACTGTCCTCCCAGGGGTAGAAATGAGTGACTTAGTTTTCTGTTTAATATGTTTCTGGGCACAAGTTTACAAGGGGTGGGGCACTTAGGGAGACATTTAGACATATCATGTGGTATTCAAGAAACCAAAGTTTTTAAGGCTAGTCTGAAAGGTGCTTCTAATTCATTGGTTTTGCTTGATTTGCAGCAACAATTGTACATTGGTTCCCGAGATGGATTGGTTCAGCTCTCCTTGCACAGATGCGACACGTATGGAAAAGCTTGTGCAGACTGTTGTCTTGCCAGGGACCCTTACTGTGCCTGGGATGGAAATTCATGCTCTCGATATGCGCCTACTTCAAAAAGGTAAGAGGGGCCTTGAGTTGATACGAACTCTTTCTCCTTTTTTGCCTCTTTTTTCTTTTTATTGAGGCAGAGTCTCACTCTGTCACCCTGGGTGGAGTACAATAGCATCATATCTCACAGCAATGTTAAACTCTCGGGCTCCAGCGATCCTCTTGTCTCAGCTTCCTGAATAACTGGGACTATAGGCAACTGCCATGACACCCAGCTAGTTTTTTTTTATTTGTTTGTTTTTTTCTATTTTTAGTAGAGACAGGATCTTGCTCTTGCTCAGGCTGGACTTGAAGTTAATCTCCTGAACTCAAACAAGCCACGTACATCACCCTCCCAAAGTTCTAGGATTACGGGTATGAGCCATCATGCTCAGCTTAAAATCAATTTTTCCGTAACATGAACATCTCATACAAATTATTGTCTTGTAGTTTAAGTTAGAATAAATATAAAAACCAGAGTCAATTGGAGGTATATTGAAATGAAAATTTGTATAGTTTTTGAATATAAAACACTAAATTGGGAACAAAACAGATATTCTGAATCTGAAATGTAGAACTTAAAAAAGATTGACATACTGTTTATATTCTTTCTCTTCATTTATGTTGAACATCATTAAAATGTGTTTTGATTTATGACTTTACCTTTTTTACAATGCCCCCTTCCTTCCCTCTTATTTGCAAATACAGAGGGTTCCCCCCCAAATGTATACATGTTTGAGAAAGAAAAAAATATATATTAAGACCGTAATAACCGTAATACTCTAGTCACATTTGACTTCTGGGATTACAGAGGTACAGAACACAATATACAAGATAACAAAGGTTATCAATATATATTGGATATTGTAATTTTACTATAGCTTTTTTCATTCTTAAAATGTGATTTTAATGAAGTTTTTTACTTTCTTAAAATGTGTATACGTTTGTCGTGTCCTCTTATCTATGTACTCATAGCTACTATTTTGCAAATAATTTAATAATGTAGGTATTTGTAAAAGCATAGATTCTATACAGTCCACAGTGCATTTCAGTGACCTGAAACTTTTATTTTTACTCTAATTTAGTCAATTCCTGCCACTCAGATATACTGAAACAACAAGCTGTTGGCTTGCTGTTTGCAACTCATTGCTTTCTGTACTCCTTGAAATAACTACTATTATTAGCCAGCTTGGAACTTATTCTATATGCACATGTGCAAAAGGACTGCAGAGTTAGACGGTGAAGGATGCTCATTTCATCACCATCTTCAATAACAAAGAACTTGAAACAATGTGAATGAATGTCTGAAAATATGCCTGATGTTAGACAGATATAACATTTTTAAAGATGAATTAAGGTAGCATTATTTTATAAAGTCTGGGTCAAGTACATTTGCACCTAGGTAAAATGTCTCAAATTATATGTGGCATTCTTTTCTTATTCAGGTCATTTTTTAACCAATTAAGGTAACAAGTAAGCATATGTTAGTCTCACTACCACGTGTCCACTCTTATTCCTTTTGAAATTTGGCTGATTTGTGAAATTCTAAAAGGTTGAACAGTAAGGTAAGCATAGTTCTGCATCTGTTGTTAGTGATCGAGACAGCCTTTCTGGCTCTGATTATGACACTTGAAGTTCTCATCAATTTAATCCTCTTTCTGTAGACGAGCTAGACGCCAAGATGTAAAGTACGGGGACCCAATTACCCAGTGCTGGGACATAGAGGACAGTAAGTGAGATTTCATATGCTTTCCCTCCCATCGAAAATGCTAAGCCTAGTCTCCGTGTGTCTTTTTCTTATATAACTTAAAACGTCTATTAATGTATAGAGAGATCTCATTTTGTGTAATCCTTCTGTTCTGAAAAAGCAAGTAGGAAATTTTATAAATCACCCCCTATCTGTGTGCCTAAGTGGATGATCCTTTGTTATGTCACTGTTTGTTCCATACATCTTTTAAAATTCCTGTACTGTAGCTTTTGTTTCTTTTCTTATCCATCCTTGTAAAGTTTGAAAACTGCCATTAGAGATAAAGCAGGACATAGCCAAAAATATTTGGACATTTAGAATAAACTCAAAGGGACCTCCCAGAAAAGTCCGATAAAAGTTTTCGTACTTATTAGAAAAAAAGTTTTCGGTAGCCTATACTATATTTGTATTCACTTATTAATTTATATGTTCGTTTAATCAGTTAAGATTTATTAAGTGACTGCCATGCGCCTATAATTGTCCTGGGTATATTATGAGGCAAACAAACACCATGGAGAGTTTATGATTCTTTGGGGAGATGTCATAAGGCACAATTAGTGACAGGGGAGTTTAGCAAACGATCACCAGAGGCTGCATTGTTCACAGAAAATTCAGAAGGTAGAATATCTTGAAAGTCTGAGTAGGAAAGAACAGGGAGAGGAATAAAGAGATCTGAGGAATGCATCTGAAAACAGAGAAAATAAGTCTGTGTCTTCATCTACCTATTCCAGACCTTCAGTTGCTGTCCACTCGGAGCTCTGCCTTCAGATAAAAAATACATGCACACACACACACACACACCAAACATATACACAAAACTGGTGGAGGAAACGCATTTTTATAAATCACATTGTTAGTAACCACCCCACAGGAGATATAAATGACCAAACTTCATTGTTTCTGAGTGGTAGTCCAGTGGTGTTTTCTTCACTTAAAAACAAAGTTTCTTCTGAGAAAATATGAGCTCATTAGCTCTGGGCGACTCATTGTCCTGTGTAATGTTTTCTTCAGCCATCGTTATTGTGAGCTGTGTATGCGATCCTTTGCATGTGCATAATGAGATTTATCAGATACAGCTACACGGAGAATAAACCAAAGCCCAAAAAAGGAAACAGCCTAGGCATTCCCGGTACTTATATTCAAGTGCGCATTGGGGAACGGAGCAGGCGATAAACAAAAACAAAAACAAGCAAAGTAAATGCTTTGCCAGATGATGATAAATGTTATAAAGAAATGAAGCGAAACACAGTTGTGCCTAAGGCAGTGCGATCTTGGTCCTCACGTCACCATATCCTGTTCTTGCTCCAATCCAAGGCACAAAGTCTTTTCTAATCATCATCATCATCACTCCACCCAGTCCATTCTTGTCAAGGTCACCAGCAATTTCCTCCATGCCAAAGCCAATGGCTAACTTTCAGTGCTCATTTCGACTTCATTTCTAACTCCCTCTTTCTTGAAACACTCCTCTCTCGACTTCCAGCCAGCACTGTGCGGGAGTCAGTTCATGTGGCCTCATTAGAGTTGGTTGCTTACTGTTTAAAAATTTCACGAGCTGGTTTTAAACTACTGGTACCTTGAACCAGACATGATAGTGCGATTTACACTGGAAAAATCAGCAAGTACTACAATCAGGTTTTTGTTGTTTTAATTTTGGAGGAATGGTATTCTGCACACCTTTGCTTCCACGACACCACATCTTTCTGGCTTAACTCTTACCTTCTAGACTGCTCCTTCCAAGTTCTCTTGATTTTTCTTTTCGTTCTACCTGTTCAATATTAGTGTCCCAAGCTACTTTTCCATTTTCTGTGTACGCACTCCCTAATACCATCAATTTCAATTCCATCAGAGACCACTTGACCTCCAAATTCATGGTTTAGTTCTAAACTTACCCCAATATGCCAGACACAAATGCTGAAGAGCTCCCCTTGGATACCTACTTAGTATCTTTCTATACCTGAGAAAGAATTACCTTCTCCAAAAGCTATTTGTTCTGCAGTTTTCCCCATATTAATATGTGGCACCACCATTCACTTAACTGTTCAGGTCAAAAAGCAAGTAGGAGTCATCTTTATATATATATATATTTTTTTTTTTCTTTCTTTCTTTCATATCGTACAACCACCCTGATCCTTCAGGCTCTCTGGAGAAACTCCACAGCTTCTCAAGACCTCCACAGATGCCAAACTAACTAAAGCCACAGAAACTTCTTAGTGGCAGCTACACTGGTCTCCCTTAATAAGATCTCCAGAGGCTGTTCCCAAAAATGCATAGATTCATGTCACTTAGTAGACAGAATAATCATTAAAAAATTTCAGTCAGGGCATGTCATCTCCTTGCTCAAAATCCTTCACTAGCTTCTTAGAATAATTAGTGAAAGGTGAACAGCCTTCCCTGTAGCCCATCAGGTTCTCCTGGCCTGGTGTCCAGCGTATCCTCTGACCATCTCTCATACTGATCGCCCTTGCAACATTCACTCACTGGCTTTCTCTGGTAACCAATCTGTTATTGCCCAAGATGATTTATTTTGCTGTCCTCTGTACCTGAAAAACTCTTCTTTTGCAGTTATTCTCATAACTCCACCTTTATATCAGTTACTTCTAGGCTTAAATGAGTTTCTCATGAGTCCTAGCCCATAGCCTAACAATCAGCCTTCATCCTCCCTACTTTGTTGACAAGTTCTTTTCTCGGGAAATAGTATCTGCTACTACAAGATAATGCCTGTCTTTCTTCTCCATAGGCACCAGTGAACTTTCTGTGAATTAGGAATTTATTAACTGTGAAAACTGCAGATATAATCAGTTGAATTGGTAGAGATAGTTGATAGATTCCAGGTTTTAAATGGAATCAACACATTTGGAAGGTCAGAAGAGGTGAATTCATAATGGTGACAGCACGCTTAACTTAATCCTTGCTCTTAAAACACAAATAAGTTCAAAGGACATTTCTCGTGCTTTTCTTTTCTTTTAATTTTAACCTTTATTTTTATCTTTTTTTTTTATTTTAGAATATTGCAGGAGTACAAAAGTCTTAGTTACATGAATTGCTTTTGTACAGTTTGAGTCAAAGTAAGGCTCAACATCTCTAATCATCAGGGAAACACAAATCAAAACTTCAATGAGATGTCACCTAACTGTTAAGCAAGGGTTTTGTCAAAAGTCCCAAAACAACAGATGCTGGCATGGGTGCAGAGAGAAAGAAACACTTGTAACTGTTGATGGGACTGAAAACTGGTACAGCGTCTATGGAAAGTTGTATGGCGCTACCTCAAAGAGCTTTTATTTCTTTAAATTTGGAGGGGGGATTATTTCAAAATGTTTAAGCGCAGTCAAGTGATTTTTGTTGCATGGATAAGCTGAATAATGCTGATATCAGGGCTTTAGTGTTCCCATCACCAGAACAGTGTACATTGTACCCCATGGGTACATTTTTATTTCTCATTCCCTGCAATCCCCCTTTTTGTTCCTAATATCCTTTAGAACACCATGAGAGCATGTGTACCCACCATTTACCTCCCACGAATTACTGAGAACATGTGGTGTTTGTTTTTCCATTCCTGGGATAAGTTAATGTTCACTTAAGTTAATGTTGTCCGGTTCCATACAAGTTGCCACAAAAGGCATGATTTCATTCCATTTTATGGCTTAAGAACTCCATGATATATGAAGATGCCACATTTTCTTATCTACTCATTAACTGACTAATATCCAGAATCTACAAAGAACTCAAACAAATCGGTAATAACAAGACAAATAATTCCATTAAAAAGTGGGCAAGACATAAACACAGTCTCTTCAAAAGACAATAAACGAATGGCCAAAAACATATGAAAAGATGTTCAAAATCACTAAACATGAGGAAATGCAAATTAAAACCACAATGAGATACCATCTTACCCCTGTCAGAGTGGACATTTGAAAAAAAAAATAAAAGAGGCTTCTGAAGTGAAGTGGAATTGTTGAATATATGTGCAATCATGCCATTTGGTCAGGTTTAGGATTTCCATTGCTCCTTAAGTTTTAGTCTTTGGTTGATGCCTAAAATACTAAGTAGGCTCATTTGCAGAATTGAGATATCTGCACATACAAGGAAAAAGTACCCATTTTGGTCAGGATGAGCAGCTGTCATTTTTTATTTGATTAAATGTGTGCTGCAAATCATAGATGGCCCATGGGATAGAGCCTTTGACTACTCTAAGTGGAATATCTTTCAGATGGTGCATTGACTTATGAGAATAAGGTGTCTGAGATACTGCTCCTTTAGCATTTCCATTAACTATCTCTCAGCAAAGCATGTTAGGCTAAAGAATCCTTCTGTATAGAGAAGAAGTTAATACAGATGAGTTCAGATTCTGAGTATTAGAGTATCTGACTTATGATCAGAATTGTAGAATTTTTTTAAATACAGATCATAGTACTTACTTTCTAACATCGAAATTCTTTAATGTTATCTAATCAGCTTTGTGGACCCATTCCTGTTAGAATTTCTTTTTAAAAGTGAAATAAATTGCTCATCTACAAAGTTGTTTATATTTTATGTAAACAAGAAAGTGTTAAGGGCCTTAAAAGATGCAAAAACTTCATTCAGCTCAGAGAAAAATAATGTGTAGAGTTAGATCTTAGGAATTATCATTTTAAAAAATTAATCGCAAATAGTTAATATACTGATAAAAGAGTGAAAATTATAATACACGATAGAGTTTTAAAATCTATCCATTGGGTAATAGTGGTCTGAGGTAACAATATTCTAACATGAATTTTCTTTCTCTAAGTAATGTGTATGATTCTTCTCCATGGCATCTGTTCTAAATCAGTCTCTTTTCTCATTGTTTTTAATATTAGGTCAAGGTTAACCTTCTATTTCATGTTTTCTTTCCAGGCATTAGTCATGAAATTGCTGATGAAAAGGTGATTTTTGGCATTGAATTTAACTCCACCTTTCTGGAATGTATTCCTAAATCCCAACAAGCATCTATTAAGTGGTACGTCCAGCAGTCAGGTGATGAGCATCGAGAGGAGGTAAGTTGTTGTCATCAAAGAATCTTTACCTTGAAGGAAATAGTGTAAAACTCAAATCACATTTTTGGTTGTGAGAGATGTTCAGATTTTAGTACCATATGATGCTCTCATTATGTGATGAAAATAAAATAACTGTTCATACATCGTTCTCACTGAACACCAAAGATGACAATGGCTTTGAGATAAGAAGGAGCCAATTTCACACAAATGTGTAATGAAAGATATTTAAAAGCAGACTGAAATTTTATACTAAATTAATATTTTTTTCAAATTTCTATTTCTCATGAGTCACCTATGTTTTTGAACAAGTCTCTAAGAACAAGAACACAATATCTTTCTCCTTACAGTAGGCCAATTACTTAAGTTTTAACAACCATTGTGTTCCATTTAGATTATGTAATATAACACAGTGAATTTGTATTAAAACAGAAATATATATTTTCTATCATAACATATGAGAAAATTAGATAAGTATCTGGACATATATATCTTTTAACTTTTATCTATCAAAAACAAATCAAGAGAGGGCATATTCTATTTTTATTTTATCTTTTTCCTATTTTTCTCTGACACATATATGTGATTGAAATACCTCACAAAGATTTTGTGAGATAGGTTGTATATGTTACTGAATTTAATAAGCTGGGTTTGAGTGTTTGAGAAATCTTAGATTAATGTTATTTGGATTTCATGAAATGAACGTTAATTGATAGAATTATTTTTTATTACAGTTCAGAGAATCCAATGATTCTCACACTAGAGTTCTAAACCCCCCAATATTAAACTAACTACACCATAATGAATAATGGAATGAACACAAGATTCAGAATTACATGTCTTGAGTTGAAGCACAATACTGATACCTCTAGTTAAAATGAGATTCTAAGACCTTTGGTAATATCACTGAGCTCCTGTGAGCCAGAATTTTCTAAAGTAAACAAAATAAATTCAACATTTGCTATGAACATCAAATGAAAAGGCATATAAGAATGTAAAATTTTGACCAGAGGCTCCCACAACTGTGAAATATACACATAAAATTACAGATGCTGTATTAGTGTGGATGTTTGGAAGCAGGAAATAATGCTAATTGTGTGGTTAGGAAATGCTTGTTCTACTTTTAGGCTGACTGCTTGGGATGTGTGAGCAGGTCATAACTGCTCTAGCATTCAGTTTCCCTGTCATTTAAGTCATGGATCAAATTTCTCAAAAATTCCAGTCTATAGATATTTCAAATGGTAAATGTAAATATTCAAACATTAGTATAGAAAGATGAATCTCAATTGTGTGTAATTGTGCCCCAGACTGCCATTCAACAATGTCTGGAGACATTTTGAACCTCATAGGGTGGGTGGGCAGGTTCTTCTGACATTTAGTTGGTAAGGCTCAGAGGTGATACTTAACATCCTGCAATGCACAATCCCTCACAGTAAGGAATTATCTGATCCCAAATGTCAGTACTGTTGAGGTTGAAAACCTTTAGAGTAAAAAAAAAAAAAATCAAATATTATTATAATAAATTGATTCAAAGAAATAGTTTCACTGTTAAGTGAAAAAGCTAATATCATTGTGTTCATCTAAGATCTATAAGAATAAATTTCTCTATCAAAATATTGACTCTTTGCAAACTTAATACCAAGGGAATAACTTCATTCTTTATTAAGTCAAATTTTTCCAATAAAACTTGATTCTTCATCTTTACTGATATCTACATATTTTGACGAATATATTTTGAAATATTAGCTGATAGAAGTGATTATTTAATTCCAAAACATAAAGCATTTACTTTTTATTCAAAGATTATTAGAAAAATGTTTTCTGAATTTTTTAACATGCAGTGTTTTAGTTACATTGCAATATTTTAATCTTAAATGTCATAAACCAGTGTTTTTAATTTTATATCTTTAATTATTTGATAATTGTCTTTTAGTTAAATATAATTCCTTAATAAGTGATTTTTTCCTCCATGGAAAATTTAATCTGATTTTTTTAAAATGTGGTACTCTGTGTAGGATATCTCCCAGCTATCAAATCCATAATGTCTATGGTTATTTGTATTTGCATATTTCATGTGCTTAAAAATGCTGTACATTACTGTACCTTTGGACACTGTATGATATATTCAAGATGGTACCATGCTCCATGAATTTCAATGGAGCAGAACTAGCATATTTATTGAATTTTATTTAAAAGTATCTCAGCTGGGATATTTCAACTGGTATTTCCATCTATCTTTGTAGATAGGTATTTTCACATTGTCCAGGACATGCAATACTGCTTCCTGAGTTGAGGAAAGGACAGTATCCAGAGTACATTTGATGTGAAGCATTTTTCCCAGCAGGATCCCTTCTGCTCCTTACCCATAAGGTCCCAGCTTGAAATCTTTGCTCCTCTCAAGAAAAGCCTGAGGGAGGGACAGTGATCTTCTGTGGCACAGAGGCTGTCACCAGGTTATTCCCTGCCAGGAGGAGAACATTTCCTTACTGGGCTGTTTCCCAGCCGGGTGCTGTTGAGGAGGTCATGAGTCAGTTATCTGCCGATAACTTTATAAGAGTTTTAGGAACTCTTATAAAGCAGTTCCTAAAATTGATGATGTTTGTGCTGTGACTAGCACGTTCATCTGCAGCCCCCAAGCTCCTGTTGAAGTTTTGGGGTCTGAATGAATAAATGAGGCAATACCATATTTTTCTCTATAGATATTAATAATATTTGAAAAATCTTCACATATTTGCATTTTCCCATTTATAGGCTCTTACTTTATTTTTGTTCTTTTTATTGTAAAATCAATGTAAATGTTCTAAAATTGCAGTAACTCATAAAAAAGAACGATGAGGCCACTAAGTGTCCATAAGCACATGTAAAATTTTGATGTCTACTCCAGCTTTTTTTGCATTATGCTCATTTTACTATAATTCAATGCGACTACTGTGTTTTCTCTGGTCCCCGCCTACCCTGATGGCACAGTCATATATCCATATTCCAGACTTTCCTTAAATAGTTGGTGTCCCTTCTTTAAAAAAAAAAAAAAAAAAGGAATGTACTTTCCCCTATCTAAAATTGTCTCTACTTTTCCTATTTTCTTCGGACAAATTTCAAAAAGTAAATTTAATGAGTCAAAGATGTCTTATTATGGGAATTGATAAATGGTTGTATATCACTAATTTTCCATAAAAATCACTACATCAGTGCCTATTATGAACTCCTGAGGCAAAATCGTGCATCACAATTTAAGAAAATCTTCACTAGTTTATCTTGAATAAATATATTGTGTTGATATCTATTTCATTGAACATTAGTGGATGTGAACTTAACTTTCTCATGTTTCTTTCTTATTGGCTTTAGCTGTATTTGGTGAATTGTTTTGCTATCATTTTCTTAGTTTATATTGCTGTAGTCATTTACAATGGTTTTAACAAGCATTTTATATTATAGATATTAATAATTTAATATTATAGGTATTATAAGCAACTTTGTTTTATATGTCTTAATGTTTCTTTCACCAATGAGTCAGAAAATATATAATTTTTGTAGTTATGCTTTTCTTTTTACATTTATACTTTAAGTTTTATATTTACATGTATATTTATATTTTATTTTATATTTACATTTACTCAAAATTATTACTCTAGTGTTTATTTATGTTTAAATTTAATTTTGTTTTCAAAAGATGATGCTGTGGCTCAGCAGGATTTTTTAGTAATTTTTTCTTTTTCAATGTTTGCATAAAAATGTTGGTTTTATGATATGCTAACAAATGAATTGTGAACAGTGTCAGGTAAACACACTCTGAGAAACTTAATTACATGTACATAATGATTCTATTCTAATTCTTTTTCCTTTCTCTTAAATAAGACATCTTTTTAGTGTTTTGTTTTAAATACAAAGAATTTATGGTGACTTTGATAGATATTGATTTTTCACACTGGTAGCTTGCTTTTTTACTGACTCAGAAATTTTCTCTGGTAATATTGTCCATTTGTTGGAGAAAGGAGATGTTCCTGAAGCCCTAGTCTTTTCCAAGACACATGCAGTGCTTTAACTGGGAAAGAACTGACAGATGAATTATCAGTCAAGGAAGCACCATTAGGCTGTCATTAGCAGAGATTAGTCCCTGACCTTCACCTGCTGTTTAGTACCTAAATGTCCTTTGTCCCTTCCAAGTTATTCTTCTCCTTTAAAATGAATCACCCTGTACTGAAGATCAACTTTTAATAATGTCAAATATATTATCCTTGTTCACAATGGATAGTCAGCCTCAGCTCAAGCATAGTTTTAATTTGAAAGGATGAGAAGTTTTTACTTATCACTTCTAGCATGGAGAAAATTTCCTGAGTTTAAATCAGTGGCCAGAGATTACATTATCTCTTTGTAGGGGAACTGAATTTTCTAAATTGACTGTGCTGACATTTCACTGCTGAGAGACAGTCTGCATAAAGCATTCTATTCCCGCCCTGAATGAAAGCATTGCAGAGAATGTAAAGTAGGCAAATGTTAATCAACTCCTTAATTTCTGGGTCACAGATTTTGGTCTCTAAATTGCAAAAATCCTGTGAAAGTCTATTCAATGTGTATTTTTTAGAGTTGATATTTTATTAAAGGACTATTATTAAAATTTTAGCAAGAACAAAGAATGGGTTAAATATTTAATGGACATTAGGTAGATCCAGAAAAGCCTGAAATTTCTTTAAGCAGGTTTTATATCTGTAGGTCAAAAACCAAAGAACAAATCAAGCATTCCATGGAAGAAAAGAGGTGAAAGAGCATGACCTAGTAATGAAGTGCCAGGTGTTTATGAAAGTCTGAGTCCTGTGGGGACAGAACTAGACTGGAAAGGAGGGGAGGGAACCGGACCGCAGAGTAAAGCAACATAAACAGGATACAAAGACGGAATAGCAAAATACTGATGATGGGTTGGACAATATGTGTGAAAGCAAAGTTACAGTTTCTTCCTGTCAAAAGCTTAAAGAGAACAATAAAAATTACTGAGTCAGAGCTGTGACAATCTCTAAAAGTCACATGAAACACAGTTTAAACAGTAGCAAGAATACCAGTCATGTAAAGGAAACCAGACTGTAGGTACCTGGTTTTACTGGCATGCTGATAACCTCAGGCCATTTTCTGTTAGGAGAATTACAGAAATAAAGGCTTCATAATATTACCTCTCAAGCAACATGGCAGTAGTCTATAATGTTGCTAATGATACTTCACACTTTAACCTTCAAAGAGCTTTGCTTTTAATCCCCCAAATACACCATATGCTGTGCCACCAACTTGATAGATGGGAGACCAATCTGGGAAGACAAATGAGTCATCATACGAAGCAGAGCAGACAGAGATAAGAATCCAGGTTACGGAAGCTAGTATTCTGAGGTCTAAGATTTATTTGATTTTTAAAAAACAATTCTTACAGTGAAATTATTAAGGGAAAACAAAACGTACATAACTTGTTAAATTTAAGATTACCTTTTCTGTTTGAGATGGACCATTTAGAACCGATACAAATTCACATTTATTCAGGGCATGAAACTCTTGATGGTTTCAGAGAATATACATTAATTCAAGATTAGTTTGTACTACAATCACATTTTAAAATACCTGGGCTTTTAAGAAAAAACATTCAAAGGAAAAAAGAATACTACACATCCAACTCACCACATAGCCAAGGTAAGGAAAACAAACACACAAATAAACAAAACCCTGGTGGTGTGGATTCAGCGTGAGCAAAGGCAGGCCTGGAGACCATTCAGCCTCATTAACCAGGGATCTGAGCTGTGACCTGCCTTTGGCCTCAGATGGTACCCCGCCAGCTGCACTTCTCTGGCACAGAGGGTGGTTTGCCCTATACTTGTTAGTTAACTGGGCTGGTAGCCAGAGATGTTTCTTTTCCTTTTCTCATATTTCCAGAATTGGAGGGATTTTTTTCTCTACATATTTTTTACATAAAAATTCAGAGAATAGTCCACCCACTGTGAATAAATTTAATTTAGACATCTTTATGCCTCCTTGATTTGCATCAAGTAAAAATCTACAGTACAAGGGCAGATGTGTGAACTAGGAAATTTTCTAGACTTCTTTGTTATTGTTGTTGTTTCCCTTAACACTACTCAACAATACTCCACAGTAAACAGGGGTTTTGTGTGGATAAACATGCCTCTATCCTTCATGGAGATAGGTTCACTGTTCACACCAGATTATGGGCCAGGGGAGGTTAATGTTACAATTGTCTCTCCGTAATATTATTTCAAAATTACTTCAAAGGCTAAGGAGTATCACATTTCAGGGGATCTTTTTTTTTTTTTTTTGGTTCGTTGTATTTTTTTCACCCTTGAAATCACATTACCATGTTATAGTATAATGAAGTATAGCAAATATTTCCACAAATGGCATAGTTTAAAGTATGACATACCTACATAGCATCAAAATTCAATCCATAGTAAAAAAGGGAAATTCAGCTTTAAACGTTGCTAAACTTCTAAGGTCTGACTTAATTTCAGTTCTAACATGCAAAAGATTGTCTCCAGGCCTTTCTACTTGTCTCCTAAGAAATCAGCGTTTACACCTTCCATGTGCTATTCAGATTATGGATTTGGTGTTATCTAGAAAATAGAGTAAATTCCTTTTGGAATCATTGTTCCATTCTACCTTACAAGTAGCTGCTTGCACTCAAGCTCCTTTTCTACACAGTGACTGTTGCTGTTATATTTCAGGTCTAAAATGAGATCCTGATTTGTGATCTTAGTACACTATTATGCATCTGAAATCTCTGTAAAGCTCACTTGTTAGTTTCCAGTTTTACTTCATTCCCTTTTGCAGCTTTTCATTCCTTTCTGTCTACTGGGGGGGTGGGGGGGGGGGGGGGGGGGGGGGGCGGGGAGTAACTGTATTCCAAAGGTTCAGTTAGACTTAATAAGACACAAATGTGAAAACTTCAGAATATGGTTTGAGGGTTATTACTTAACTTGAATTTATTCGCCCACTTCAACTATAGCTGACAATATTATTCTTGATGACAGAGAGACAGAGAATATATCTTTTGGGTTCATCTAAGTAAAACTATGAACCTATTTTCATGGGCCTATAGTCTTCTCTGTTTTTAATTTATTACTGACATTTTTTCCAATTCTGCAGTTGAAACCCGATGAAAGGATCATCAAAACGGAATATGGGCTACTGATTCGAAGTCTGCAGAAAAAGGACTCTGGGATATATTACTGCAAAGCGCAGGAGCACACTTTCATCCACACTATAGTGAAACTGACTCTGAACGTCATTGAGAATGAACAGATGGAAAACACCCAGAGGGCAGAGCAGGAGGAGGGGCAGGTCAAGGATCTATTGGCTGAGTCACGGTTGAGATACAAAGACTACATCCAAATCCTTAGCAGCCCCAACTTCAGCCTTGACCAGTACTGTGAACAGATGTGGCACAGGGAGAAGCGGAGACAGCGGAACAAGGGCGGCCCCAAGTGGAAGCACATGCAGGAAATGAAGAAGAAACGCAACCGAAGACACCACGCAGACCGGGAGGGGTTTCCGAGAGCCGTGGCCACGTAGTTTCCTATTTAATTTAACGAAAAGAAGTCTTTAGCTGCAGAAATACTGTCTTCTGTTTTTTACATCAGTTACACTAATTCTTAAATGCTTTTCATGGAGTTTTACTAAGGCACAAGAAACAGTTATTTGAATGAGACAACATATGGTGAATACGGGACAGAAAGACCAAATAATTCATCGGAACCAATTTGCCAACACAAACCTTGTACTTACCAAGTATAAGAATTATCCTCCAAATAGGGTCTTTACATCTATAAATAACTTATGTTTTGAGTGTTGGAATTTATTGTCATGTAAATAGTATAACTGAGCTAAATGAGCATCAAATTTGATCCTGTATTAAGGTGCCTCATTCTCGTACACGCCCATGACGCATGGATTTACGGCGCAGGTGCACTATGCTCTTACGAGCAGTCCACTCTAGAATTCACTGGCATGTAGTGGAGAATTGGGGGCAAGACACAAATTCAGACAGTTCACATCATCAACAGGTGCTTCCTCAGTGCACCATACACTCTTGGAGCACGGTGTAGGAATTTGGAGAGGTGCATTATTTCTTTCAGGCCACTGGGGTTACATTTACTGTACTGCAACACTGATTTACTGAAAGGCATTAATGTTCCTCCCAGGATTCCACATGACTTGTCAGGATTAACAGGTTCACAGAGAGAAGCTGGTGCTGAGTTATGTGCTTCTAGAATATGGACTTAGTTCTACGGGGACAGAATGCTTAATAAATATTTTAATAAGATATGGGAAAATATTTTAACAAAATAAGGGAAACATCATGGCGTATAGTGCATCATTGTGGGAAAGCATGCAGATGGGATTTGTTAGGCTACAAAAGGGAAGACAGCCATAAATTCTGGCTTTGGGGAAAACTCTCATCCCCATGAAAAAGAAGAACAATCACAAATAAAATGAACAAAATGTAATGGAACTCTTTTCGCTAGAGTGAAAGTAGCTGCCAATTTGTAATTCATCTGTTGAAAAAAAATCTAGATTATAGCAAACTGCTAAGCAGAGCCGGAGGAAAAGTAAATTTTCTAAAGGGTCATGGGACAGATGAGCATATTTTATTTATGATGTAATCAATGGAATTTCAATATGCATTTCTTCTCTTTTCCTAAATATTTATCATACTCTGTATATTATTTTCATTTACTACCTTTATTCTCCCCTGTATATTGAATTATTGATTCATATCTGAGTGAATAGGAAAATATATAATACAGAGAGAGGATTAGGTAGACATAACAGTGGTGGGAAGCGGGGATATATATTTGTTGCACACAGAACAAGTGCAAGTTTTGACAACGGAAAGGGTTTAATTAACTCTTTGACATCTTTTCTCTACGCAATCTTTCTGAATTTCTGGAGTAATCAGTTGTAATTCCAGTAGCATTATTTTAGCGATTTAACAATAAATACACCTACCACATGTAAAGAAGACAAACTCACAACATTCACACAAACATCTTTCATATTTTGTTAGCACTTCCAAATGTTTCCAATTTTACTTTCCTTCTGAGCATGGAGGGAGTCTTTCCTGTCTGGTTCAGCAGGACTCACCTTTGCTTCTCATAACACAAAACCCTTAGCCTCCTTCTGTTTTGCCTTTTCACGCCCTTTATGGTGTGAAATGAAAAATTAGTCACTTCCTCACATGGAAGGCAGCTTTTCAGAAAACTGAATAACATGAATAACAGACTTTGCTCATTCCTCATGCATTGTACGTATCTTGAAAGAAAAGTCCGTGAGAAACACGTGCAATTACAGGGCAAGTTATTACAGTCTGTGGCTCTGTGTTCTGAGCATTATCTCACTGTTACATTCACTTTATTTGCATTGCTGACCTATCTCAAAGTCATTGTGATGATATATGAGGTTGAGTATCCCCCTTCGTTATTATACTCATGAATATTGCAGGTGTTTCACTACAAGGTGAACTTCCTAAGGAATAATTTTAAGAATAGTGAACTAGAACAAACCACTCTTTTAAAAAGTAAAAGAATAATGGTGATATGAGAGTACTCATTGAATATTTTAACAAGAGTGTTTGTAATTATTGATTTTCTGGTATAGAATGCTCCAGCAACTCATGGCGAGCTCAAAGAAATAAATGGGAGCATGTTAATTTTCTTAAAATTTCCAAATATTTGTGTATCAGGGAGTAATGATCAAATTATGGATGGCTTTGGAAAAATTACTTGAAGCTCAAATGTTAGAATTGACTTGTAAAAATAAATTGTTTTCATCCAAATATGAATGTCTAAAACCATTTTAATTCTTTCTAATTTCAGTTATTCAGATTTAAAAAATTGGGTAAATCATGCCTGTACTCTGGCTGCTTTGAAGTCAAAACTATTAACGATGAGAATTACTTAAAATATATTAGAAATATTATTAGCAAATATAATTTCATATAATTAAAAAAAGGGTAAAAAGATTTACGTGTATTTTTTAAAATAGAGGACATCTAAACTATGTTTAATTTTTTAACCTTTTCATTATTCAAAACACTTAGAGAATACATTAAATCCACAAACTCTATATGTATTTCCTCATCCCTGAAGATTTTACCAAATATACTTTATAATAATGAAAAAGAAAAGTATTGATAATGATTTCTGATATGCTAAGAACTCTGCTCACTATAAGGAGGGTCTTACAATGTCTGTTTGTTCTTGACTTCTTACTTTTCTCCCTTGTCTCCAACACATAGAAGTCTTTGATTTTTTTGTGTGTTTTCTCCTGCATTTCATTTCAGCCACTTATGCTCTAAGTGGAATTCTGCCTGTCTGCATTCATTTACATTCAATTGATTAGAAATTTTAAGAGTTTGTTTAGAAATGGATAGTCTAAATAATTAATTTATGTAGAATCCTTTTCCCCTCAAATGTTCAAAACACTACACTAACATTACTGAACAAACATTTTTTTGAAAGTCAGCCAAATTACTTAAGAAGTGGAAAAGTTGTTATAGAGAAATTTAGTAATTTGTAAAAGCTGCAGCAGTACATGGGAAATTCTCCTTGTTTTGTTGGCTAAAATAATGCTCACAATATGCTAACTACAAAATAGTCTTATTATTTACTGAATAATAAGATTCAGTAAATCTGAATTTTTTAGATTCAATTAACAAAAGTTAACACTACTTAGGGCCTGTTTTTCACTATTAATACATTTAAATTTCTCAGGACAACTTAATATCATTCAACTGTCCACCAAATAATAATTAACTCATTTACCTTAAATATGAGTTTAATATACAAAATCTAAAATTGCCCTTGTCTCCTCCTCAACAATACAAAAGAAGGAGCACACATGTGACTTATACCTCTCATTTAAATATTTTGTAGTATAAAATATTTATGGAAAGGTTGAGATAGATGGTTTTGGGGAAGGGAAAAAAATCTGTAAGAAGCCATAGTTAATCATGTAATTTAATTCTAGTATTGGGAGTGGTTAGCAATCAATTTTGAGTTAATAGTATTGCTATTTTAAAATAAATGTAGTATTGTAGTATAAGATAATTAAATTGTAAGATGTATATTTTGGTTGTATTATAATAAAACACATACATGAGTGTTCTATAATTATAAAGAGTGTTGGTTTGTGTGCAAATTTTGTTTTTAAATACCAAATAGGATAAAAAAATTTTCTACAGATAATTGAATGAAGAAAATGTCATAAGAAAATATTTTCAATGTTTTTTTTGCACTGTAAGTATGCTATAATTTTATTTATGACAGAAAAGAATGAGTGCTCTTTACAATTTGATATAATTACATAGGTAAGCTTTATTGTGATTAAATTTAGATTTGGGTGGATTGAGATGAACGTTACAGTTACCACAAGTAACTACTTCTTTGCAGGTTTCCAACTGCCCTTTGACAGGTGAAATTTTAAAATACTCCTCTATGTTTAGCTGTATGTAAGTATAATTTATTAAAGACTAGGATAAGGTTATTAATTTTTCTTTCTAAAAACATTTTTTGATATCATTTTTTAAAAAATATATTTCTTGCCAATTTAGTACACACATGATATTCTTTATTCATAAATATGTAATGTTATAATGTTGCTACAAATGTGGAACTCAAATAACATAGAGATATTGTGTTGAGAAATGTCAGATTTTCTGGTTGAACTGACAAGCTTGTAACATGAGTTTACAGTACAATTTAAAAAAAAATCATTTTATGTAAGACATTTGTCTTACTTTGCTTGGGCTGCTATAACAAAATATGATAAACTGGATGGCTTGTAAACAACAGAAATTTAGTTCTCACAGTTCTAGAGGCTTTAAGATCAAGGTACCAGCAGATATTGTCTTGTGGGACTACTTTCTGGTTCATAGATGGTGCCTTCACCCTGTGCCCTCTATGGTTGAAGGGGTGATGAGCTCCCCTGGACTTATTTTTATACAGGCACTAATCCCATTCATCAGGGCTCCAACCCTCATGACCTAGTCACTCTCCTAAAGGCCCCCCTTTCTAATATCATCACCTTGGGAGTAAAGATTTCAACATATACTCTGGGAAAGAGGGGGTACAGAAACAGACCACAGCAGAACTCTGAAATTCTAGACCAGGCCCAAGTTACTAGATCAGAGAAATATTTGAGTAATTCTCAAGACAGAAGAAATAAGAGTTTAACATTTGAGTTGAAAATTGAAAGCATCTATAGCCAGAAAAATTTGTCTTCATTAATGTGGATTTCTTAATCAAAAATCTCTTGTCCAGAAAGATGAAGTTGCAAATACCTTTATTGTTTGTTTCATAATTGCATATTTAACTTTAAAGACGTATTGTTAGAAACACACATTTCACAGAGTTATTTGTTGATAACCAATGAAATTAAAAATGTCCATCTGATTTCTGATACAAGAACCAGCTTTTTACAATTAGTATATACCTTGGAGAAACTTCTCCATATAAACAATAATAGTAGATATTTTTAAAACAACGTATTGCAGAATTAATTAATATAGAAGAGAGAACAATGAAAAAAAGAATAAGTTGTAGAAGCTA